AGAGTGCTTACATTAGTGGCCGGAGATGTTTGTTCTCTTTAAGGCAATTCGTGGAACCACCGACCAGGACGGAGAACTCGAGAAATGGCACGCCATGTTGACCTCAGCGGGAACCTGCTCTCCAAGCAAGGCTAACTCGAGGCGGGTGCTGACTATACCGTATTCTGGAGCGGTCGCCTAAAAACAGCGACGCTTTGCTGGTGTTGCCTTGCCATCCGGAGGAGAATCGTGCCCCGTCCGTCGCAGGGTGTCAATGACCGTCCCATGAACCTAAACCTGCCTCTTCGGGAACCGAAGTAACCACCGTCGTCAGTGCCTACATTCCCCCCAATGACCAGATCCGATGATGCGACGAGTAAGAGGGCAGTGAAGCCGCTTTCTCAAGCCTTTACGTCGAGGACGAAAACCCCGCTCTCTTCATTGCAGACTCACCTTGCGGTTCTTAAGGTTTGACAATGTGCGGTGGCAAAGGGCTGTCCAGGGGATTGGATGCCCTATGGACGAGTGGCGAATCACTAAACGGGTCTCGACACATTTGATTTTTGCTCTACTCCGTCCCTGTCTGGTATCCAGCCCTCATCTATGATTACATTAAACGGTGTCCCGCAGCCCAGCAACCGGCTCAGGTGGCGGGCTAAACCCTATGAGGGTGAACGTATAGACGACTTATGAGGAATGAAAATGTATATCTACAAGTCTCACTCCTCCCTAGAAAATGGTTGGAGCATTCTTAATACCAAGCGAGAGATGTGCGTCTCTGCATGATGCAGAGACCTGAATGGCCTATGGAACCCATGCGCAGAAATCCAACCAATTTCACCTGAGTTGTCCTCAAAGAAAAGGAAAGGTCATGTGTGAAGAACGAATTTCGGAAACCCAGGCCTCGGGATTGACTGACACATGCAACGTATTGGTAACAATCCAACTTTGACGGGACAACCACTGTTTGCGGGTGAATAATGAGTAGCCATCGAGTCCGTTTTTCTATGGTGAAATTACTGTCGATGATCGCAGTTAAGGCCGAAAGCAACGCAACAACCACACTCGGAAGAACCCGCCGAAGTGCCTATTCATAAAATAGGACGAATGGGCAACCTAAGAGCAGACTTGACAGGCATGGAGGTCCGTTGTCAAATCTGGAAACACAACCCAGCAATAATTGTATTCTGAGCGCGTAGATCGGTGCTAATGTCCCTAGCTTTCATCTTTTTATATGTATATGATCAGTAATCCAAACGCTCACAAGAGCGACTACATACATCTAGATTGTAATTACAGGTACCAAGGAGCAGTTCCGAGGATGCAGCAGTTACTAACACCTGAGCCGGATTTCTAAAAAGGAGACTTGCGCAGTATCTGTTTCACCCTCTAATAGAAGAGCAAGGTCAAAACGACTGGAAATGGGGTGCAGTGACCACTACTATATCTATCCGCACGGCAAATATCAAGAAGAGTTTCCAGAGGCTTCAGTGATTAGTTGGTAACCTTTGTAGGCGACGCACGCCATAAAATATTCAGCTGAGACCAGCCTGAGGATGCTTCTGACCTCAAGATTCAGGCAAAAACAAACTGCTTATTTCTGTCTCACGATCAGAGCAGATCGGTGAACGCTATTCTTGTGTAAGTTTTTAGACCGTTTAGAGATCTTTGTTAGGTTAGGAGAGGTGAACAATAAACGGAACGGATAGCTAGGTTGTGGGGACTACTTGAGTGATAAGGTTAGCCCTCGCATAATTTGGACAGAATGGCAACAAAACTAAGGTTTTTTTTAATAAGACGAACTCTGCTGCACAAAGATGGCAACTGATGCATTCGAAGATAGAATTACTAGTTGGGGTAATAAGTGAAAAGCTATATGGGCCATTTCCATTGATTAGCAGGCGGTTCCGCTACAAGCGGTTCCCAGGGCTTCCATTTCAGCATATTCTTGGCAAGTTCGTACTCGCGGTTGGCCTAAAACAGGAGAAGTGACAAAGACTCATAGAGACAGTTAGGGTAGGTGAATTAAAAAAAATACTGCTGATAAAGTAAGGAAACAAAACCGGACATGTAGGAGAAGCAAACAAAATCCAGAAGTTGGACAAAAGATATCATTACCAACTCGTGACAGTTCATACATCGATGTGAACCACAAGACTGAGATAGACAGCAGTAAGATTCGGGCGGATTAACGAAGAAGTACGGACCATCGACCGCCATCTCTCATTCCATACCCCCGTCGACCCCCAGGAAAATGACGACTGCATATGCGTTGGGATGAAGTGGCTAAGCTGGCACCCAATCCCCGTCCAGATCTCCAAGATGGTTCACTCAGCTCTAATGAGCGAACCAGACCTCACAGACAAACTCAGCGCCGCAGAGACACGTCAGTTACTCTAATCTGATTTGGTCAGGTGGTCACCAGAATGGTATGACGCAGCAAGCGCAGGCCCGGAGAGTTGGGGGTCAGGCGAAGGCAGAGCGGAACGAACACTCCATGAGACAAGCCAATCCACCAAGATGTTTACCCCTCCCATACACCATAACCGACTTTGGTAGCGGTCAGTGTCAACAGTTACTTGATGACTCATAACAGAGGCAAACATTGCGAATGGGTTTTGAAACAAAGCGAATTCCGGAATTGGCCAACCTCAGCGATACGCACCTGCACAATGACCTCCTCTATTTGGCCGCAGTCAATCTTCTTTTCCAGGTCAGCAATATTCGGTGTCTAGGGAAAGCCATTAAAAGGAAATATCTCCTACGCTTTCCACCATCTTTAGGCGCTCAGTTACTAACTTTTCTGTATGCGTCCGGTAAAAGGCGGTTGATGGCATCATCTGAAGCACAGTCAGTATACGCGAGTAAACAGCTTTCAGTGACTAAAATAACCGTTAGAAAACAAGATGGACACCTGCCTTATGGGGAGCCTTGGCCACCGCCAAGCCAGTCAGATTCGTAGTCTAGGCGAACGCCATTTTTAAAGTGAAGAAAGAATTAAGTCATACCTTTTTCAGTGCTTGCATGCGGTGTGCTTTTTATGCTGTGACAAAATTGAATATATGCGCACAGAATGCTCCTAGAAAGAAAAATAAAGATTCTGAAAGAAGGAAGACGGGAGGGAAATGCGTTTTAAGATAAAATACCCAAGCTGGTGGCGTAAGAAATAGAGTTTACGCAGACTAATCAACCTATCAAGTCGTTGTAGTGTACTTTTCGGTGTCGTTTCTGAGGCGCTTTGTTAGACATAAAAATTCATGCAGGCTTAAAAGACGCAAAATACTGCATTCTGCCTACTTTGTTTTAAGATGGGGGAATCAATTTACTGTACTGCTGCCGGAGACGACTACTTATAAAAAACAGAGTCGATGTTAGAGGCTCGTCCGTACGCCAATTTCCGCATATCATCATGCTGTACGTATCCACAAAGTGTTTTACGTAGTGCTAATTTGTCCAACGGTACTCGAGGGCTCCGCAGTTCTGACTTAGCTTTTTGTGGGAGAAAAAAGCAGATTGGGCTGTTTACCGGGAGAACGACCTTGTTGGAATTTACAAACGATAGCTACTGTGGACTAAAATTTCTTGACAATATTGCCAATCTTTGCAGCTGACTAACTGCTTCGCAATGTGCGGCAGAGGAAAAACTATTGCAGCTTGTAAAAGGACCCAGAATCTCCAAATCCAGGCGTTTTGCTTCGCTGACAATTCCGGTATAGCTACTGTTTCGCAAGATGTACCCCGCATCTGACTTTGTCCATCAGGACTTCTGTAATTGACAATGCTTGTGGGGCGCAAGCTGCCAAAGTTACATAATAATTTTCTGATTATTATCAGGTTAAAATAAAGGAGGAGCCGGTGAAATGGAAAAAGAAGGGTTTCTCTGATGTTCACTTAAGAATTATCTATGGCTGCATCCTTTTCGCAAGGATGTTAGACTATGAGACAGACTGACCCATCCGTGCGTACTGGCATGCCCAGTACAGAGCAGGTCTAACCCCTGTTCAAAGAAAGTCGTATATCATGTATTACGGGCTCTCGCTATGGTGATCGTGTGGCGGTGCTTGTGAGCCCTACTTTAGAAGCTCACAGCTATGTCCGATACACGGGCTAAGACGGCTGGGGGAAGCACGAAAGTTAAGGTGCTACGATTGAAGCCAGACTTAATGGAGGCAATTTCGAAGTTCGTATTCAAAAAGTTGGCTAAAAGTGCGTCCACGAAGACACCGGTGCAAACTGATCCGAGGTCACCGCATGGAAAAAAGCCGTAAGCATAAGTCGTACGAAGAAGTTAATTTAGTTCAACGGCTGGTTTGAAGAAAAGTCCCCGCCGGTGGCGTTTTTCCCTTTTGTGAACGGGGTCACTAATTCCACTCGCTTAAAAATAAACTGAAGTTTTATCAAATCGCGTTTCCGACAAAAAAAATCCTGAACCCTAGTGTCCCTAAAATCAAGACATAAGTCACGTCAAGCATTTTCGGTCTCCATTTTTCTTAAACAGCCGCTGTCATTGGGGAAGAAATGAGTCGAGCTCTCCAGGTCGAGTGCCGCAGATTGTCACGCGTAGAGGTATAATTAGCTAAATCGCCGAGGCCAGCTAGACCAGGTACTATTACAGTCGAACGAAAAAGTACACCCCGAGATGGCGAGACATGCCTGTCAACCTAGCTGGAGGCTACCAAAAGCAAATTCTTACGACAGTTTAGGACGTGCAGAAGGCGACTCCTGCCGCATGGTCCGCGGCAATAGAACCAAACGCATCACCTACGGTATTAAGGGGAGACAATATTGGGTTCATAAAATTTAACAATGGATATTACTCATATTGTAAACTTTACATGCAACATTACTAAAGGCAGAGACACAATGTTTTATGAACGGGTATTTCGCGGTCTAAAAAGTCTCATACACAAAAACTTAAAACCAAATTATGCCCTTCTTTCAAGTATAAAACTTGAAGACGCAAGCTTATACTAAATGAGTAAAACGATAAATATTTTTATGCATGTTTTCTTGGAAGTATATTTGAATTTATACAGACATCGAAAACCAATGAGAAAAATGCATGCTACTTAGAAAATTATTTTTTACAAAGTTCGGTTTTTGCAGACGGCCGGAAAGAAGTTCGCTCAAAAGTCAGCATCCTGAAGTAATTGAATTATCATGAAAGTATGCTGCACGGTGAGTAGTATCATAACCCTATTAGTATTTTCGAATCGAAAACACATTTTAGAATTTCGGTCAACATTTATTGAGTTAGCACATCTACTGAATCCCTGAACCGGGAAGCAAAAGAAATGACCATTAATGACCATTTGCCGTCCTCAGCCAGCCCTAAACTAGTTCGAATTTACGAAGCATAACGGAATAAACCACATACATTTCTGTAGTCAAGACAAGTCAGTGACAACTGGCCCCACGTGACGTGTAATTGTGGTTGTCTACGCTCAGCTGCTCAAATTTGATGACGACGGCAAGAAAGAACTATACCCCGACAAAGTGTATTCAACAACAGCAAAATTGTTTCAGAGAACGAAAAACACCTACTGGAAACGATAAACCAACGATCTCTTCTGGCCAACGCGAGGTCTCAAAATCACCTTCTAAGGTGTTACAAACCGTACGAAGAACGGCGTTTGATGCGGATGCACTCGACTCGTTCTACTTTATGGTTTTGGATGCTGTGTTGTGCAGGCAACGGACGGGCGAAAGGTAAAATTTTCAAAAACAGTTATTTGGGAACGATTCTCGGAGTGAAGTAAAAGCGCTTTGCTTCGAGCGACGCTGTATCAGATAGGTCAACATAGAGGGAGACAAATAAGACTACTGAAAAAAAAACTTAGGCGAGGTTACTTGTCACCCACGCCAGAAATTCAAAGATAAGCTAAAGATCTGGTTCGCGACATGAGGTGTGGGTCAAAATCACTAGATCAAGCAGAAAAAACCGCTGGAGGTGGAGGCAATATCCACATATAAACTCGAGTTACCGCAATATCGTCATATATGATGTCATGTCATGCACGAGGAAACACTGCAACGTATTATCAAGCTTGAGGCGAGACATCGCATGAGAAATCGTGATACGCAAACACATTGCGTGCCATGTCGCTAAGAGGTTCACCATTTTACTGCCATATGGCAGGACTGCATTACCTCGATTCTCGCGTCCCCATCGAAACCGGCTTGGTTGGCCGAAGTCGTAGCAACAAGGCTTCCAGGGGCGCATTCGAATGAGCATACGTTGATAAGCTAGTCGATAGAACGGCGTGCTCGCTTTCGAACGCTTACGTTTGGACGGTATTCCCTGCCTTCTCGCGTCTCTGCGCGAAGGCATTGCTGCCTTGTCACAACCACCTTTTACTAACCTGCACTGCTGAGCCCTTTAGCTCTCCTTTCTTAATTTGTCTAGGTCAATATCGCAAAGAACTCATCGTGGGCGTATTGAGTGAAAGGTTAGGGACATGGAACGCGAAATAACCGAGAATATGAAGGAAAGTTGCCCGTCCAACGCATCTTCGTCTTCATCGAACGGTTTTTATAACAGCAGTTGATCAACAGACACCGGTACGCCCTCTTCTGGCGATGAATCGGCCTTGATGGCTATACCATGGTACAGTGCAGCAGGCAGTGGATCTGAAGAGGAGCAAACCGTACATGAACAACTGCGGACCTGAGCTTAACGCTCGCAAATACCGCACATGCACCTAAAAAGTCTGCTGAAGAATATAAGACGCCAGCCGACGCGTCTGGCATGCTCTTGGACGCATGAACACTTCTGAGTGGAGCAAGTGCTCTACCACCGACAACAGCAATGGGTAAGGGTGAGTACGTTCACTTAGGATTGTAAACCAGTTAACTGAGCAATTGCGTGCCTTTTCGTGGATATGTTAAGTGATGAGGTGATAGCTTTCTTAGTAATCGACGGTGCTCCAAATTCATAAGAAGACTAAGAGGAAGTTTTGGGCAATTTTAGGCAGTATTATGCGGCCGCTGGTTAGCGATGTTGGCAGTAAGAATATACTTCAGTAACAGCAGGCCGTCAGATGCGCAGTCGTTTTGCAGACCGCTAGTTGGAGAGTTATTCATTTGGGTTAGGTGTGGTCTGAGTGGCGACGTAATCGACCGAACGCTGCAGTTCCGCCTGGCTGTCCTAATTTGTGATGCGCCTGGTAGGGCATTCATTAAACAGATTAAGAATGTTAATGCATATTTCCGTTGCGAACTGTGCAACGTAAGGGACGAATGTCTAGACAAGGTAGCGTATAACATTGTTTCTGAACGTGTTAGGGAGGATCGGGATTCTTATCCACTGCCGATGACCGCCATCGCATTGGCTTTTCGCATCTACTGGTTTGTAACGTAGACATGATTCGTTCTTTTCCTGTCAACCCTGTTTGTTTAGTTAATCTAGGTGTAATGAGGGGCTTCTTAACTTATGGCCTAGGAAGCCAAATGGAAATGTCTGTAGGCTATCAACTGCTGCATGCAGCATTAAGTGTGGTTAAGGAAAGGTTGAAATCGCAGTATGAATACCTGCCGCGGTAATTTTTACAAAGACCGAGGTTTCTTAGCGATGCAGACAGATGGAAGAGAACGGAACTGTTGCCGCTTCTGCTTTACACAGGTATAGTGGTCCTGCTAGATACATTCGACTCGAATAAATACACCAAAGTCCGTTCACCTAAGGCGCTCAAATAACCCCATAAACAATTTACCAGACGAATAAATCTTACGGTTAAAATAAATGCTATAAAGCAACTGATTCTGACAGCGGTATGTCTAGGAAGTAAACAGACACCCACCTTGGGGACACGAAGACCCGACCCTATCACAGTTTTACCACGGCCGCCTAACTTTCAGTTTAGTAAAATCCACTGGGGAGTTCACATTGCCTGCCGCCCATTTAGCCGTGCATTTCCCCAGATTCAACCCTAGAAATTTGTGCCTTTGACATTTGACGGCTTCCCGTGAATCACCTCAAATGTTTTCGTTTTTCTCTTTAACATGCCTACTAAAACGGGAGCAAAAT